GACAGAGGGCTCTGAAGAAGACCCCGTCCGTCTCTGATGACTCCTTTGTTGTTCTTCAGGCATAGACAGGAAACAAAGTGTAAAAACTGTAGAAAAAAGCAGTATCTTCAAATATATAATACCCAAGCAGAACTCCCGTATTTCTACTTAGGCACACTTGTGTGAACATGATAACATGACAAAAGGAATCTGTGCATCAAATGATGAATGATAAAGATCTTGCTACAACTGTCTAAGTACCAGTTCATGAAGGAATCTGTCAGCTGTGCCTCTGCATGATTGGCCTCTTTCCATCTGCTTCTTCCCAGTCAGCTTCAGGCAGCTCTGCTGTATCTCCAAATTGGTTTCCTGAATTACATTTTCCAAACGCAGCTAGTTTTGCAGTTCCAGGTCAAACCTCCGACTTTCCGGACACAAGCACATATTTGTTACATTTGTTTGTTGTAAGCTTTGATGTAAGGGAGCGACACCTTCTTTTGAAATTGTGCTTTTTGGAGAATAGAAAGATGAGAATCACTGATGAACAGAGTGGGACAACATTGGAAAGCTGACCTGTCACTCCTTTTCCATGTACATGGTCGTTAATCTTGGAAAAGTTACTTTTTGGGGACTACAACTTCTCAAATCCCATAGCAGGAATGACCACTTTTTGCCTTCCAGCAAAAAGCAAAGCACTTAAAAGCACTCTCTGGACGGTTTACAACGTAATCATGCAGGCTACACATTGTCCCCCCAATGAGCTGTTAAGCATGCAGGCTACACATTGTCCCCCCAATGAGCTGGGTACTAATTTCACTGACCTGGGAAGGATAGAAGCCTCAATTGAACCCTGGTTTGTGAGCACAGTTTTGGCTGCAGTACAGCAGTTTAAACACTGCTCCACGAGGCTCCTCCACTGACCTAACAGTTCCCTTAAATTCCTTAAGAAAACAATAACAAATCTTTTAAAAGTCAGTACTTTAAAATAAGTTATGTTGTTGATGATCTCTTATCAATCCTTTTGATCCTCTACCTCCAAGACCGCAAAGGAAAACACATTAATTCAATGAGCTGCTAATAAAGAAAGGAAGAAAAATTTAACACTACAACAGGTTATCTTGTTGGTTTCATAATGAGCTACTTTTAAAAGTGATTCCCAGGCTCTGAAAATATGAACCAGTAAGAAGGGAAATCTAGTGGCTTAGAGCTGTGATGCAGCATCTTTCCTGTAGAGAGGATATGAGAGTATGTTTGCTAATGAATTCTCTTCATACACAGAAATATTTATCTAACTGCATAGCCTTTGTCTCCCTCCAAGCCAACAGAGCAAACACATTCCATCCAATATTGTTATCAGGACAACAGAAATCAATCTGAAAGGCAATTTGTGTGTCGCCCCATTGCAGCCCATCTGTGAGTGTCTTGTCTCAAGGAATCTTGTTATGAGGGGTAGGGGCAAGATGCTGCCCATCCTCAGTCCTGCTCTCGCTCCCCCCGCTATGCACACAAGGAAGCAAAACAAACTAATCTTACTTCAGCAGCACCGGTGGATGCTAGCTTACTGGTTAGCTGGCTCCTGAACCTCACCAGCGTTCACCAACTCCGGCAATTCCTACTGAGGCAGCTGACTCACTCAGTTCAGTAATCATACGGTAATCCTATTTCTACTCCTGCTGCTTCTGCAGTCCTTTTCTTGTCATCGGCTTTTCTTCACGTCTTCTCCTATCTCTACCTCCATGAGTGGTGGCCTATATGTGACCAGAAAGGTGCTACTGGAGACCAGAAATACATGTTAAAGAGAGCCCAGGATTGGAAGAAAGAAATTCTCAACCAATAAAAGTGTTTGGGTGTCACATCACAAGCTTCTCTCACAAATTATGCACATTTGCTTGCTTTTTGGGGGAATGGCTTTCAGAACATCACATAAGGTGGAGACGACCTGTGTCCATGAAGGGAGAAACAATTTTCTCTATGAACCTGGAAACATGACTTTCTTTAAACCTTAATTATTTTTACAAAAAAAAAAAAATATGAAATCAGTTTATTTGGCTGTGGTCCATTTTCATTCACAGAGTAGCTCCAGTTCTAGCAAAATATACAATTATCAATTCATTTATTAACGCCCTCCTCCCTCCCTGCTCAAAGCAATGGTGACAGTTAAAGTGAATGTGAGTGTTCAAGGTGATAACGTATTTACAGCAGAAGCACAAATATTACAACACATATAAGATGTAAGTCAAATAGGGAATGAAGATTTCTGCGGGCCAGTCATAAGCATTTTTAAGGGATAATAATAAACTCTTCAAAAGCTGAAGGAATAATGCCATGTAAGCCGAGTTCTCTCAGGAGGAAACTGCTTGTTTTTTCAGACATCACCCAAGGTGGAAGTCAACCTGTTATTTGAGTTAATGACCCCAGATGATTCCAGAGGAAACAAAATGCTAAGTGTTTAATACCTCTAGGGATTGTATTTAGTATCCACCAGGTCGGCCTATGGATTAGTGAGTCACAAGCTAGGTCCTGTCCGTGTAAAAATCCTCTTTAGGCATTTGGAAATAATTTAAATGAAACCAATTACTATCCACTGTTTGCAATACCCATTACTATTCAAGATGATTTTGCGGGGAATATATCTTCATTTGATTAAAAAAAAAAACACTTTTTTCAGCTGAATCTCCCTCTGTAAAACAGAACACCGTGCCACTGTCCTTACAGGTAATTTGGGGAAGACCAAACCATGGTCTCACAGGCTAAAGGAACCTTTTGAAAAAAGATAATGGCCTGCACACTACTACAAAACTTAAGAGTAGAAGGGTAGTTTGATGAAGTCCCTCCTCTCGCTCCATCAGGTTTCCTGGTGTATGCCTGACCTCATAACCAGTGTGAGAATGAGCACAAGACAGGAAGTCTGCTGGAGAAGGGAGGTCCTTACAAAACTGCTGCTCTGCTTCACGCTTTTGCAAAAGGATACTGGCCAATTATTTTAATGCGCAACAAAGCTGAACCTCAATAGCTAGGGAGTGCAGGCATCAGGGTTTGCAGGATCTGTTTGAGGCATTTGTTTTTAAGTTAGAATGCTGAGATCTACCAAGCCTAGTGCAAACGAGAGACACTGAGGAACAAGGTAGAGTCCTGGCCCATCTTCTGAGCACCAGAACTGAACACTGGTTGCAGTTCCTTCTGCACAAAACAGAAACAAAAATATAAAAATACATTACCGCTAGTTACCCCAGCTTTTCAGCAGCATTCTTTAGGATGTGGAGGGCTTATTTTGCTTTTCTTTTACCCGGTAGATAAGTATTAAAGTCTGGATACAACCCATAGTGGCTAAAACATAAGTGATAATAGAAATCAGGGACTAACCATTGCATTTGCTAACTGATTTCTCTGCAGGTCTCATCTAAGTATGCCAGCTTCAAACATCATCATCTGAAGGGCAGACAATTGTGCTGCACAGGGTTTCATGCTCCCTCTGCAAAGAATGAACATGGTTATTAACGCAGGTCCTCCTGGTAGTCTTGTTTCTATGACCAGGATCTTGTTCGGCCAAATTGCTTTTGCAATCAACTGTTAAAACACAAGTGTTTTGACACTTTCGTCTGCAAGATCTCGACCACCTCCTCCCATAAGTGTAAACGGGGCTGTCTCAGTAGAAAGGGCCACTCACCCAACAGCAACGCTGTGCAGCTCACAAGACTCTGCTGGTACAGCCTCCTGCTCAGTGGAGTCTCAAATGGATTCTGACCCTGTATGTTTATCGTCCACTGGTTACAAATAATCTGATCCATGATTAGCAACAGTATAATATTTTAGATGTAAGACTCACAATCAGAATCTGGACTGCTCAACACAACACATGCATAATCCTCCACTTCCATTTGGCTTTTTTAAAAGAATAAAGTATCTAGTCTTTAAGGAAGCCATGTTGCTGGCGTTATGTGCCATCAAACTACGTCTGACTTATGTGACCTTATGAATGAGAGATCTCCAAAACTTCCTGCCCTCAGCAGCCCTGCTGAACTCTTGTAAACTCAAAACCTCCTCGATGGAGGCAGTCCATCTCGCTGTTGGTCTTCCTCTTTTCCTGCTGCCTTCAACTTTTGCTAGCATTATTATCTTCTCCAGCAAATCTTGCCTTCTCATGATGTGCCCAAAGTAGGACAGCCTCAGTTTTGTTATTTCTGAAAGGTAGTCCAGGCTTGAATTGATCTAGGACCCAGGTGTTCAACTTTCTGGCAGTCCAGGGTATGGTGAGGATTGCTTAAACAATCCAAAAGGCTTAAACAGGAACGTTTGCAGCCAGAGGCAATACTCCTGACCTAGCGTTGCCCCTTGCACTTCTCCCTATGCTTCTTTGGCTTCTTGTACACAAAGTTTGCTCCCAGCAAGCAGGAGAAGCCTTTATTTGTGAAATCGCACTGCCCAATTCACAGACATTTACTAGAGGTTCAGGCAGGATTATCTTCAGTTTCCAGCCCGCTTGTGTTTTCATGTGATTTCTTCTATACTTAGCAGAAAAGAAAATCATGAAGGAAAAAGGAGTAGAAAAAGAAAAACAAATCACACAGAGGCTAAAATCCTGTTGCACAGTCAGGCAAACAACATGATGGGAACTGCCATAAGTTAAGAAATCTTTGCAGGCACTATTTAGTGCACGTCAAGTTGCTTGACTCAGCATGCAACAGGTAACGTCTATTGAGATTTCTTAATGTGTAGCAACTCGCTTCAAAAGTTTTGTCCTATACGAGCCTGCGCCACAGGTTTTCAGCCGGTGTCTGTCCGTGCTCTTGTCTCAGGGTACACTGAGGGCAGAAACTGACAAGACACTTATCTGAGAATCGCAATCAACAAGCAAAAGCAAGCTTATTTCTACTCCGTGGAACTATGGAAACCTTGCACAAGGGTAATCAAGCATCCTTTAATTCTTCCGGGCACTGGTTCGCAACCCTGAGTAACCCTGGTATTTTTGGACTGCAATTCCCAGATTGTGGAACTGCAGTAAAAAAAAACCCCTTGTGCTGGCTGGGTTTTCTGGAAGCTGCAGTCCAAGAAGACTTGGGTTACCCAAGGTTGGGAACCACTGCTGTAGGGAGTCCCCCTTCTATCTACAAAGCTGTCACCTGTTCCTCTCTGCCCTGAGTGTATCTCTGTGACATGGCTACTGCAGTGTGATACTCCCTTAAACTCCCACCACTCCATAATAGGTTGTGGGATCTTAAGTTTGGCAAGGTATTTAGAATTCTTTGATCAAGAGCTCTAGTGCAGAGGAGTGTGTACTTAGGAGGGACAGAGTTCTTTCGCTGGAGTATGACAGTTAAGTGGTATCAGACTGCTGTATCTAGGCAGTGTGCAAACAGACTTTAACTCTTCTCTGGAAATGGCATTATCCCCTTCATTTTTACAGACAATCCAGACAGCACCTTGCATTCCAGCACTTTCAGCAGCATCTTTCAATGGTTCTTTTCTAGACTTGAGTTGTGGCAAGTTTTCAGTAATAAAATATAACTGCAGTTCGGTAATGAAAGCCCTTCTCCACTCACTCCCAGTCCCTGTGGGTTAAGAAAACGACATTAGGACAGCTGAGCGAGCCTTTTTCATGAGCCTAATAACAAATCAATTTAACGTGTTGGCATATTATTTCCAAGCTCTGCATTTTCCCTGCTTCTATTGATACAAAGGCATTTGCTTTGTAGTGTTGCGGAGATGCCATACAAATCATGCAGACACAGGCTGAGGTGCTCTGAAACACAGCAATCCCTTTCCATGCTGGCAAAAAACTCCCTTTTTTTAACCATCCTCTCAGGCTCGCCTTGAAACAGGAGCTTCAGTTTCCTTCGAATGCGAGACATTTCAAGACCAGCTTTTAAAAATTTTTTAAAAAAGTATTTTGATGCTGGAGTACCTGGCGTGCAACAGTCTCTTCTTTTTCATGAAGTATGCCCATATTTCTTCATCTCCTGAGCCTGTGCTGAATGGCAAGCGTATTAGCCAAGGGTTAGTCATGATGCAGAAGGGGCACGATCCTGAGAGCAAGGCTTATTGTTCTGCACTCTCTCACCCTTTTCTTATCCGTGTACCTCCTCCTGGAGAAACACCACACTTTTGTTTTCCTCCTGACAGGATGTGAAAAGGTCCCCCTGTGGAATTTCTACGGGGAGCAAAGCATCAATAAACAGGAAAGAGCCCCAAAGACATAACCACGAGAGTCCACTGTTTACCAAAGATGTCAGCATGAAGTTATTCAAAAAGCTGAAATTTCTCTTCTACTTTGGTCTCAGCTGATGTCAGCTACGCAACCTTCTCTGCGCCAGTCAGCGTGGATGTCCTTCTCAGATTTTCTTTGACTTTAACGAATTCTGGTGCATTTTCTTCTTGCTTCTCTTGTTCTCTTTCCAACTGGTGGAAGAAAGGCAGGAAATATAATTGAACTAATGAAGAGAGGCATTTACGTATGCTGAAGTTTTAATAACATTAAGTCTGGTCCAGAAAGGACAGAAAGCTGAGAGCTTTCTGAAAGAGCTGGCAAAGGGGCTGGCTTTTGAGTGCTACAGACTGGACTTAAACAAACCATGGTTTAAGTTGCTGGTGGTTCAGAACACATGACGAGCAAAACTATGATGTACAGCAATATTCATTTTTATCCCCGTCAATTTCATAACACCTCTACATGCAGCAGCGCCTGGATGATGACAACTCTAACCCTCTAACTCTACAGAGTGTCCTCTGGAAATGATGAAAATTAGCACTTCTGGGAGGCTCCCCAGAGTATTTGTAACCCGTTCGATAAGCTGTGTGGTCCTTATGTTGGCTTTCTGGTTTTTGTTTTAAAGAAAGAGAAGGAAATAAGATGCTTAAAAAGAAAAGAAAGAGATATAGATCAGGGGGAATATAGGTCAGAACAAAAATATATATGTAAAAACACAATTTTCATTCTTGGAGGGATGCCTGCATGCATTGTTAACAAGAGAAGAAAATGAGAATCTGTGGTGGTTGTTACTTCTAAAAGCAGGGAACCAGATCCAGGTAACACATTATTTTGTTTTACGTTACACCTGCTTCTGAGGTTAGTGAAGTAAAGAGTAAATTTAGAATTTGGAGATTGAGCCCTAATGTGTCTTTAAATATAGAAATTATTGGAAAAAATAAAATAAATTAAAAAATTTTATGAAATAAATGATACTGCAGAAATAAAATCAGCATTGCTATAGGATGCCCTAAAAGCCTACCTAAGAGGAATTTTTATTATGGAAACCTCTAGAAACAACCCTATTCTTAGACCAAATGATTCCACCGCTTCAGGCAGCAGAGGCAGGAATGGGGAACAGTGACAAGAAGTTGAAGGATGGGTGTATGCTCCATCACCAGCATTGAGGTTTAAGTTTTATTCTTACCTTAGAAAAGTTACTTATTTCAACCACCGTCCTCAGAATCATCTAGCCGCACGGCTGGTGGCCATTCTGATTGAGGCATCTTGGGGGGTGGGGGGAGGTGGTCGAAAAAAAGCTGACTTTTCCAACCACTAAATTCAACTGCCAGTCCAGTCAGTAGGAAGGAACTGTTTAAAGCAGGACTTATCCTGTTATCAGGAGCTGTGACGAAAATCTTGGCATGCAAACATCTGGGTATGATGGCAGGAAGATGGCCACTAGAGGGTAAAGTATGTGTTTGAAACTTTGTTCTTATATACTGTACCTCTCCCTCCAGTTAAAATGAAAGGCAGCGGCTGAAAGCTCTTAATAAAAGCATGTTTGCATCTTGTACTTGCCTGTCTTGCTACTGCTGGAGAAAAATTACAATTTTGTATGCAACCTAACACTGAGTTTCAGTGAGAAGGAGGCACTACAACTTAACATAATTATGCCTTGCCACTAATCTATAAGCAAAGTCTTTTTTCCTGGGCTTGAAGCAAGCCCTCACCTCCTCTTTCTGTTTGTTTGCTTCTGGTTGTTTATTTGTTTCTTCCTCTCTGACTTTGAATTGGAGCAGGCATGTTCTTTCTCTGTTCCTGAGCTCTCACCACATGGCTGCAATGGTGGACTGAGTCTCCCAGCACGATTGTGACTGCAATATCTTTTAAAAACTTTTTTGAAACTTCTGATTGTAGCTGAAGATCAACTGTAAGTAAAGATGCTTCCTACTTAATCTACCTATAAAGTGAGTTTTATATACAAAGAGCTAGTCACATACAAAGAGGCTGAGGTTAGGATTTTTTGCTATTCTCCTTCACATTTCGATGTGCTGCGGTTGTTTAATTTTTTTTGTACTTTATGGTCAGCAAAATAAAAGGAATTAACCAAAATATCTTCCAGCAAATATTGCATTTAGGAAATTACTAAAATAGGGCAGGCACCACTATTTTTATAAAGAAAAATAATTAATCATAATATTCAAGATGTGTTTAATAGGGGCTAGTAAGGGCTGAACAGAGACGCATTTTATTTAACTGGTATTAAGACAAGTCCTTTCTCCAAAATATCTTCCAGCAAATATTGCATTTAGGAAATTACTAAAATAGGGCAGGCACCACTATTTTTATAAAGAAAAAAATATGTAAAATATTTTTATAAAGAAAAATAATCATAATATTCAAGATGTGGTTAGTAGGGGCTGAACACAGACACATTTCATTTAACTGGTATTAAGACAAGTCCTTTCTTAAAAGACTTTAATTACAGCTTTCTAATTAAGATCACATAAGGCTGCCTCCCAGCCTTGAACTATACACTACCATATGGCTTGTCCTACAATGTGTGAAAATAACTGCAATTAGAAAAGGAGAAATCTGCCTTTATGGGAAAAAAAAAGAAAAAGAAAAGGCTGAGGTTAGGATTTTTCGCTGTTCTCCTTCACATTTCGCTGTGCTGCGGTTGTTTAATTTTTTTTTTAATTTTATGGTCAGCAAAATAAAAGGAATTAACCAAAATATCTTCCAGCAGATATTGCATTTAGGAAATTACTAAAAATAGGGCAGGCACCACTATTTTTATAAAGAAAAAAATATGTAAAATATTTTTATAAAGAAAAATAATCATAATATTCAAGATGTGGTTAGTAGGGGCTGAACACAGACACATTTCATTTAACTGGTATTAAGACAAGTCCTTTCTTAAAAGACTTTAATTACAGCTTTCTAATTAAGATCACATAAGGCTGCCTCCCAGCCTTGAACTATACACTACCATATGGCTTGTTCTACAATGTGTGAAAATAACTGCAATTAGAAAAGGAGAAATCTGCCTTTATGGGGGGAAAAAAGAAAAAGAAAAATGAATATGAGAACATCCTGGTAATCATGCCTTCAGGAGATGTATGCACAGATTTATTAAAAGTTTGATTAAAATCTCTATCCTGTAAGAGCACAGCAACTTTTTGGTTGTTTCTTCAGTCGGGCTAAATGAAAAGCTGCAATATACCTGTATAGGAAATACCTACAAGCTTAGAGCTCTCAGTGACTTCAGTGGGATTGGGGATTACATAAGGACAGAAACATGGTGGCTCAGCTATCTTGGCAGGAGGTTTAGAAACGCTGTGGCTGTGATCCCGCTACCTGCAGGCGGAACATGTTTAAATTTATGTGAACTGTAAAGGGAACGCCTGTGGAATATTCCTATGAGTACTGAGTAAAGGGAGCCGGCATATAATTGCTAGTCACAGATTAGGACACAGGACGGGATCCCCATATTTGAATTTGGAGGGCCAAGTTTAGGCATCTTAAGCTGCCCTTCCCAGTCCTGTCATTTTCAACCGAGTCACCTTCTCCCCACAAACGTCTCTGTCTAAAAGGAAGATCCAACATGATAGATAAGGACTGAGTCACTCTGACTCTCCAAACTTCAAGAGTAGAGGTTGCCAACTGTTTTGTTTATCCTTGTTCCTACGTCTTTGACAACAGCCTCAATTGTAAATATCAATAGCAGATGGAGGTGTTTATCTCATGATCACTATGGATTAAATTGCTCTTAAAAACACAGAAGTAGGCCAAACTGGGTGGGGTTGCTGTTGTTTTTTGCCTGCTCAGTTGGCAGGAAAAAATTTAGGGACACGGGTGGATGGAAAGAGGGAGGATAGTGGTGCCAGTTCCCCATCTCGAAGTAGCAGCACCAAAAGGAGGAAAAGGAAGAAATATACACACCGGTAGCCTAAGAAAGTGCTTATTCGTGTAGACTGACTCCTTTCAAGGCAAAGTAGAGTTCAGTGTGGGCAACCAATCTGGCTAAACTATTTTAGCAGAAATGGGTAGCCAAAGTGATGCCTTTATATGCGGTGACTGGTGAGAAAAAGGTAGCCCAAAATACAGTGGTGCCTCGGTAGACAGCTACCCCGCATGGCAGGTTTTTTGCTAGACATTGACTTTTTGCGATCACTATAGCGATTCGCAAAACAGTGATTCCTATGGGGGAATTTCGCTGGACAATGTTTGGTCCCTGCTTCGCAAACCAATTTTCGCTAGACAACGATTTTGACAACTCCCTCTGCGCTTGCAAAACGGGTGTTTTCGGGACCTAAGCTTTGCAAGATAGCTATTTAAACAGCTGATCGGCGGTTCGCAAAGCGGCTTTCCTATGGCCGATCTTCGCTAGACAACGACGATTCTTCCTCAATGGAACACATTAAACAGGTTTCAATGCATTCCAATGGGGAAATGCTTTTCGCTAGACAATGATTTCGCTAAAGGGATATTTCAGTGGAATGGATTATCATCGTCTAGCGAGGCACCACTGTATAGCATTTCTGGCCTCTTGAGGGTGTCTTCCTTCATAGATCTGCAGGCGGAATTCTTCACAATGGTTAGGACTGAGCTATTTTTGCTGCTTGAGGTGTGGGACAAGAGGCTGGCCCTTCCATAGGCCTTGACGGACAACCGAATCTTTCTTTATCACCAGCAGTGTGATCGTGTCCACCACTTTACCTGAGAGCGGCAGGATCCTTCAGGCCATGAGTGGGGGCAGATGTCTTTGGTCCAGAGGCAGAATGTGGAAAGATTCTGAGAAGCCACTTTCCACCCCGGAGTGGAGCTAAAGGCACTGGGCCAAAAGGCCAGTGCAAAGCAGGCAGAGCCAGCTATTATCACAGCACTAGTTTAGTCATTTCTCTGCTAAGTGTAGACAAAGCATAGCTCAAGTCTACTTAAGCCTCCTCAGCAGCAATACTTGCCTGTGTTGTGAAACAGAGCTAAACCTGTGCAACAGCTTTCTGGGCCTTAAGTACATTATTGCGCCTGACCAGAGATAACAGCAAAAGCAGGTTGTGAGTTGATTGCGGAAGCCCTCATGAGCAAAATGTCCCTCCCTCCCTCCCTCCCTCGGGCGAGGCACCAGAGGGCCAATTGGTGCATAGCCTTGTCTTCTGGCACAAGAGAAAATCCAGAGAGTTCAGGACAAACAGGCAGCAAGCTACCACTCCTGTCCCTCAGCTTCTGCTCCCTCAGGTGGGTCGTCTCACGATACCTCAGAGCACTGGGGTGGGTTATCTGGACCATAGCTCTGTTCGAGATACGGAACTCCTCTGGAATCCTGCACAGATCACAGTCTTTCTCTCTCTCCCTCCATTTATTCTACCAAGCAGGGTTGTATGTGGGTGAAATGATCTGAAGAACCCTTTGTGCATCACGAGTCATCACGGAATAACTAGTGTTTAATCCGTCCTTTCTACTTTATTAAAATCTCTGTCCTTTGCGGTTAAAGACCTCTAACGTAATAAATCTGGGGGGTGGCTTTCTACCTGATCCAGCCTCTGTTGCCTCTTCATGAGCTCTTGTTCAAAGGGGGACTTTAACTTCTTTGCTTCTTCTTCTTCCTTCCTCTGTCGGATCAACTGGTTTCGTCGCCGATGTTCCAGGACCCGCTGCAGTTCTGGTTTGCTCTCCACTCCCAGTCCTCTATGAATGTAAGGGAGAAAAGGGAAAACAGAGATTGAGTTCTAAATATGTAAGGAAGGCAAATAATCTTGGCAGCAACATTGTACAAACAACTAAAATTATTTATTTAAAATATTTTTACCCCACCTTTCTCCTTAAAAGGACCCAAGGTGGCTTACATCATTAAAAAGGAGATCTTTAAAAGCTAAAAACAGGAAGTATACAAATATCAATTGGGAATTTTATGTGTGTGCATGTGTCTATACTAACCCCCCCCAAAAAAACACATTTATAAACAACAGAGCACAACAATCCATTAAAAAAGAACCCTCTCGGACTGTCAGTCACCAAAGAAAAGCCTGCCTGAATATAAAGACATTTCCTTGCTTTCGGAAGGACAGCAAAGGTGGGGCCAGCCTGCCCCCCCCAGGGAGGGAGTTCTGATCATGTCACACTGTTAGCAATGGAGCTTCCATTGAAATTGGTCAGTACAAGACTGCAGCCTAACAATCAAACTGTATGTTATAGGCAGCATGTTGTTAGAAGCAGAGATTTCTTCAATACTCATAGATGTCTGATTATAGTGGACCCTCGACTTACAGACGGCTCCACTTACAGACTTCCGAGTTACAGACTTCTCTGGCTGCAAAATTTAGGTTCAACTTGCAGCCAGAGAATCGACCTACAGACCAGAAAAAAACTCATAATGAAACAAAAATGGCCAGTTATGGATTAATCGGCTTTCAATGCATTGTAGGTCAATGGAGCCTTGACCTACAGACTTTTTGACCTGCAGCCACCGTTCCAATACGGATTAATTAATTCTGTAAGTCGAGGGTCCACTGTATAAAAAAGGATAAGCCTTTCACACCTCCCTTAGCTTGCAAATGAGCTTCTTTTGTTTTATGACTGGCCACTCAAGGATCAACACCGTCTTCTTTGGGCACTCACTATTCCTGAGGCATGAAACTCTGTTAGATCATGTCTCTGGGTACACATATGCATTCCTGGCTTTCAATGATGTGCTATCTAGAATACAGAGCTTTACCTTTAATTAGTTTCGGAACAAGAATTGCTGTGCAATGCTGCTCTTATAGAGATTTGTGTTGTGCTTGACTATCTTTGAAGTTAGGTGGAGAGGCTCTCCCCTCAGGTCCTTTGGAGAAAAGTTGTCAGGACCTGCATGCTGGTAGTAGAGGGAGGCATAACAAGTGTGGCCTAAAATGGTTGGGATCAGACTATGTACACATATACATATACACCCCATTCTCTTTCCTCGACACACAAACACGCCCCATATTCATGCATCTGATTCGTATGTGCAGCCCTCTTTTTTGCACATAACTGGGAAGTAAAGGAAGCAGCCTCAGGAGGAAAGAATCATATGCCTAGCTTCCCTGCTGCCAAGCAAATGCAGTTTTATTTGCTCCGTCGTTTACAGGGTAGGAGCTATATAACCTGCTATTAATTAAGTTTCAATGTGCTGCTTTGTTTCAAATATGTATTTCCTAGTATTGTTTGCTTTTATATTGCACACACTGTCTTGGAATCTAACAGAAGGGGGGGTGCAGAACATATGTTTTTGAGACATGCATGCATATGTACCTTATGTACATTGAAACAGGGTTTCTGAATGGCAGGACTGTTATAACTTCAATGGTTGTGTTAATGAGGAGAAATTAGCCACCGAGGCAGCTCTCCCATTACCATATCTTCGCTGTGCTAAAGCTTCATCTGTTGAATTTCAGCAAAGTATTCCAACTTGCAAAGATACAAGACCAGCCCTGCTAGGAGAAAGCTGGGAACTTGCCGCCTGCTGGAATATCCAATTGCAGGGAAGAATGGTCTTCAATTTGTGGTTGGGTTCCCTTTCCGGCTAAACCCATGTGAAAGCAGGAGGGACATGATAGGAGGTCAAAGGGAGGTATCAGCAGGAGTCTCCCAGTGAAGATTCTGGCTGACCAGGCACAGCAGTTTCCTGGAAAGAAAGGAACTGGAAGCCAAAGGACCGCAGATCTGCGTGAGTCCACCGCCCATGTGCGCCGGCTGATGAAAAAGATCTGGCAACCCCCTGGGTTCACGAGTCAGGAATCTTTAAATAGGATGAGACGTGTGCTCCAGAGCAACGAAGGGACCTGAATATTCCTCTGAAATATTTGCCCTCCCTCCGCATGATCACCTGGATAAGCACTTATGAAAGAACTGCTGTTTTAAATAATAAATAACTAGATGTTTAACTAAGTATATATGTAACATTGTTTATTAGGATTTTGTTTAGGCATCCTTCAGTCTCGAGAGACTATGGTAATGTGCTCTGTATGGAGGTCTTGGAACAACATCTAGTGTGGCTGAGAAGGCCAATTTGAGAGTGACAATCCCTTCCACACTGAGGACAGATACAATCTGTCTCCTGTCCAGCTCCCTGATCTTGCTTCTTTGCCTCAGCCTGCTAGACAAGGGTCTCTTCAAAATGGGAGAGGCCATGATGCAACGCCTGCCTCCAGGCTGAACGCTCAGATGTCAGGGTTTCCCATCTGTTGAGGTCCATTCCTAAGGCCTTCAGGTCCTGCTTGCAGATATCCTTGTAGCGCAGCTGTGGTCTCCCTCTGGGGCGGTTTCCCTGCACTAATTCTCCATACAGGAAATCTTTTGGAATCTGACCATCAGCCATTCTCACGACATGCCCATTATTAGGATTAATCATTGTTTTAAAAAACTTATCTGGCTGGATAGCACAGTGGTTTAGGTATCTGGCTGCAAAACCAGGGACTGAGAATCAGATTCCTCACTGTGCCTCTCAGGAGAAGAGCCAGCCTATGTAGCCTTGGGCAAGCTGTACAGTCCCAGGGTGCCCCCATGAGAAGGGAATGGTAAACCACTTCTGAGTACCCTCTACTTGTAATACATCGAAAAAGGTCACCATTAATCAAAATTATCTCCTTCCTTCATCCAGCAGGGGGCAAAGTTTAATCAGTAATCTTAATGTTTCTCGAAGGCTTTCACAGCCGGGATCTGTAATACATTGAAAAAGGCCACCATTAATCAAAATTATCTCCTTCCTTTGTCCAGCAGGGGGCAAAGTTTAATCAGTAAATGTTTCTCAAAGGCTTTTCTTCCTAACATTTCGCCAGTCTCTGTGGCCGGCATCTTCAGAGGACTGGAGTAGGAACTGAGCATGTGGTGATCCTTCACTCACTGAATTTTCACGCTAAAGAAAAAGTCGTCTGTATAGTATCTGCCCTTAAGTGGACATTACAAGCCCTTCCGTTTATGTATTTGTGTTTATTTGTATTTTATTGGTTTGTTGCTTGTTTACATTTTTTTTGTTTCTTTGCCCAGAGGGTGGGGGATGGGAAAAGGATCTATGTCGTGTAAGATTCCCCTAGAGTAGTGGTTTTCCATTAAGTTGGGTGATATATAAATGCTAGAAATGAATTCTGTCTTGTTTACTGTTTTACTTACACAGCATGCAGCTGTTAGATGCTGCTAGTCATTCTTATAAGTCAGATTTGAATGGTTTTTATTGCTCTGTATTAGAGATGGGCACGAATTAAAAAAGAATCACCAGATTCATTTTAAAAATGGCTAGTTTGTTGGTTTGTATTCCCATGAATCAATGCCCCTGATGAATACAAGTTTTTCTGATTTTCAGTTGATTCATTTGGCTATCAAACAGGCCCCCAGGTATCTAGACACACCAACATTGAACTGAGGTTTCCCCTGACTCTCCTCTACAATCCTGGAGGTTTCCCCTGACTCTCCTCCACAATCCCTCTACATTTGGTGAAGATTGGGTTTCCCCAAGCCAGTTGCTAAAGGGCACTTTCCTGGGGGAGACCCACTTTTTGGATGTACAACTTGGATATCTGAACCCCAATCTTCACCAAACTTGGAGGGACTGTAGAGGAGTCAGTAGAAGCTTCTCTGTGATTTTGGTGTCTCTAGGTGCCAGGAGGGGAATTTTATGGGGGAGGGCTCCTTGTGAGTTTGTAACTCAGACATTCAAAACCTAAACTTCATCAAACTTGCAGAGATTGTAGAGAAGAGTCAGTGGAAGCTTCTTGGCATATACGGTCTATCTAGGTGCTTGGCTGGCCATTTTATAGGGTTTTAGAGTAAAATAAATTAATTGATAAATTGATTGATCAGAAAAAATCATAAATTCATGATTCATCATCGTAGAGAAGAGTAGTGGAAGCTTCTTTGCATATACAGTCTATCTAGGTGCTTGGCTGGCCATTTTATAGGGTTTTAGAGTAAAATAAATGACAAATTGATTTGTCAGAAAAAAATTGTAAATTTGTGATTCATCGACCATGACAAATCGCAAATCAAAGTGATTCATCATTTTTTTTTCTGAATCATGCCCATCTATTCTGTATCAAAGTCTGTCCTCCTCTAAAATTTTACATGCAACTTCAGTGGGTTTTATTACCCTTTCAAACACTAATGTGTTATCTGTGAAGATTCTCAGTCATCTGATTCGTGCCCATCTACTCTGTATCAAAGTCTGCCCTCCTCTAAAATTTTACATGCAATTTCGGTGGGTTTTATTACCCCTTCAAACACTAATGTGTTATCTGTGAAGATTCTCAGTCATCCAGGTGTGATTATCTGGAAGCTGAGTCATGGCAACTGGACTTCTTTCTTGTTAGGCTGAAACGTTTCGCTACTCATCCAAGTAGCTTCTTCAGTCTGAAGAAGCTACCTGGATGAGTAGTGAACTGTTTCAGCCTAACAAGAAAAAGTCCAGTTACCATGACTCAAATTCCAGTGAACGTGTTTTTTTTAAAAAATATGGAAAGATGCAAACCAGCATGCAATCAAAAACAAAGGTGGCCTTAGATACATATCTGAAAAACACTTGAATGTGATAAATAGAGGAGAGTTTTTTTCCTGCTGTCCTTTCTACTGTCACAACCCACTGCATATATCACAGGGTTGCATACAACATATATCACAGGGTTGTCAGAGAACAGTGGCCACAGCTCTATTTGGGTGTAAATTAAGCAAACAAATAGAATGGCATAATCAGGAGTGCTCCTAACTGCACTGAATAAACTGCAGCACTATAGCACTATGTCAGAAAGGAGTGGAACAGCTTGCAAAAGGTGCAGAATGGACTGCATTCTTCCATGCAGTCACTGGAAAACAGGGTGAACCAAACTGCACCAAAAGTGAACCAGATGGACTGCATTCTTCCATGCAGTCGCTGGAAAACAGGGTGAACTAAACTGCACCAAAAGTGAACCAAATAGCAAGGTATATGCTTGTCTAACCACCCCCTAAGTCTCATTCTCTATGTTTTACTCACTTATTGAGGCATGCTTACATTGTCTTTAGTTTAACAGAATATCAATACAGTAGCTAATTGAACTGGATTTTAATAGAGTAATTGCATTTTTTAAAATTCAGACCTTTTTTTTAAAAAAGACATTTTTAAAGCTATACTGATTTTAATCTTATGGGTCACTGTGGGTCTCAGTTGTGGGAGGATAGAAATAAAATAAAATACATAATTTATATGTTTAATTTATATAAACTAATCATTGAAATAAACAATTCAACATAAATGTATTTAGGAATTAGTGTTTTTTAAAGAGAATAATTACCGTATTTTTCGCTCCATAAGACGCACCTTTCCATAAGACGCACCAATTTTTTAGGAGAAGAAAACAGGAAAATATAATCTGTTTTCTTCGCTCCATAAGACGCACAGACTTTCCACACCCCTGTTCTGTGGGAAAAAAGTGAGTCTTATGGTGCAAAAAATACAGTAGTTTTAGAAGGAAGACATTGCCTATAGGTCACATCACACTGTAATGCTGGCCAGCTGTGCCTCCTTGTGATTAATTCAGGAACCCAGGAGAGCATCTTCAGGGTAAATGGCGGCACCTCATTGATCCTGTCTGCCTGTATCTGCCCTGCTGATAACCGAAAGGTCACTCTCTAAGGGTGTCCAGACAAACATCACTTCAAAGACCACCCACAGCCATGCAGATCGTTCATCTTAAATTATGGCAAGCCAAATGCCTTCTGTGGCTGATGACCAATGGCACAGAGGCAGGCCATCTTCTCAATCTCGACTGATCAAATCTGCAACCTAGTGTTGCACAATCACGGAAGAGAGATGACAGGCCTGTGTGCAATCGGGTGCTTCTATCCACTGGGGTGGGGGGGGTGGGAAGTTAGTTAAAATAGGCAGCAGAAGATTAGAACAGGAAAACGGGCAAAGGAAACATCTACCTGTCCTACCTCATAATGTTACGGGGTACCATTCAAAGTAACTTCAGGATCAAGAATTCAGGAATCCGGATCTCTCAGTCACACGACAGTCATCTCAGATGTTGTTGCTGTCATGTGCTGTCAAGTCAGAACCGACTTATAGCGACTAGAGATAGGCAGGGACTGCTGGTTCTTCCGCCAGTTTGCTTATTGGCTGGACAGGTGTTTGACACTTTAAAGCCCTGGCCCCTCCAGTTGGTACCCACTTTAAGGCAGCCGCCTGGCTTCTCTGCCCTGCCTCCTCTGGGTGCTGCCTCTGAGTGGATGCCTGCCAGAGGTGGCAGGGCTTGGAAGTGCCAGACATCTGTTTGGCTAATAAATGAATGGACAGGAATTGCCAAACTGGTGGTTCATGTCCATCTCTAATAACGACCCTAACAGGGCTTTTTCAAGGTGTGATATTTTAAGGAATGTGTTTTACCACACCCACAGTGTGTTTCCATGGCTGAGCGGGGATTTGAACTCAGGCCTCCTGAGTCCTAGTCCATCACTCTGTCCGATACACCACACTGGCTATCCTGTCTTGGATAGGAGTTCTCAACTTGTTGCCCACCAGACGTTGGACTTCCTGGAAGCTCAGACAGCGTGGCAAAAGTTACTGCTATAAAAACCTCTCCCATTCAAAGGCCAGGCCAATGGTCCACCCAGCCCTGTGCTGTTTATTCTAAAGGGCAGCAGCTCTCCAGAGTCTCAGCCAGAGGGTTTCTCTATCTAAGCCATGTGACTGGCATGGGACGGAACCAGACAGCTTCTCCTTGCTTGCTAGCTTATTTATTCATTTGTTTACTTTACTTGTTTATTTTGTACATCCTACCTTTCCCTCTTACAGGAGACCAAGACAGCCTACAATATTAGGCTTGTCCTCTACCACTGGGCAATCCTTCAACTTAGCGTTTATCAAAAAAAAAAAAAAAAAAAAAAAAAAAGGTTCCCAGATATCAGGGGTGATGAATATCTGGTCCTCCAGATGTTGAACCCTAATTCTCATCAGGTTTCACCAACAGCCAAGTTGCCTGAGACTGATGGAAACTGGGATCCAACAACATCTTGAAGTTCACAGGTTTGCAAGCAATTTATATTTTTCTGTAGCATGTAAGGAGTGCGCCCTTCCCTATTAAAAAGTGTGTTCCTAGTTCTCATGGCCCTGCAGAAAGACCTGAAAAGCTGGAAGCAATTTCTGAAGTGGGCTCTCATATTGGGGCGTAATTACCAAGAGACTGCTTCAAGAAATGCTTGATATCATTACCTCACACAGCTCCACACCTTTCGTGATGACTCCTGGCCTCTGTTCTGCAACCATTTTCAAGATAGTTCACATCCTCCCCCCCCCCAAAAAAAATTTACACTTTTTGCCCTGATAAAAGCAAAACCCCCCAAATTTACACTTTTTGCCCTGATAAAAGCAAATATTCTTCAATCAAGGGCAAAAACAACACACCTTAGTTGTTGCAAGGGGAAACACATTGTGCAGGGCCAGAGGTGCAATTCTGCATCTGCATTCTCTCGTAGGTCATAACTCTCTATACACCTCGAGACAGAACAGTACAAAACAAACACGTCACCATTTTCCCCATACCTTTTGTGATTCATAAGCAGTTCTCTGTGAAGCTCTTGATGGCTTTTCGACGCTCTTACAGGATTGAGGAGTTTTTTTGGTTTGATAAGGTCAGGGTTTCCATCAATGTAGTCCGGATGAGCCATGATACTCCCAAGATCAGGCCTCTCTCTCTGTATTTCAGAATACATGGATGCTGGTAGGAGAGGGAGGGGAGAGAAAGGAAGAGAATGAGAGCAGCCCTCTTGCTTAATAGCAGCAACTAACAACGACAACAGCAGCATTTCCAAAGGCAAAAAACAAATCTGTAGCCTTCAGATATTCAACTCATTTACACATTTCTTCCTGTTCCTGATCAAAGGAAGCAATCTGCAATGAGTGCTCCCTACAAGCCACTCCAGTTCTTCCTTTCAGTGGTCCAGGAAGACTAACTAAATAACACTTCATGCTTTGACTTGGGGAAGGGGGTGGTGGTGGTGGTCATTTGAAGTCTTTTATGTCTCAGGAGGAAACACAAAACTCAATATGAAGTGTTACTGATTTGTTTCTGCCACATGCACAATGGCCAGACTGATCTGTGTGACCGAGCTTCTTCATGAGAAGAGTAAGATCCTGAGGGGTGCAGGCTCCCAACTCAAATGGTAGAGCTCTATATTTTCAACCGGGCTAAGCAAACTTCAGGAGAGCGTGGGATGTGGTTTTCTGCCTCCTGAAAATTCTACAGGCACATCAGCCCCCCAAATGAAACCGAACGTACATTAATACCAATAAGTCTCCTCCTCCTCATTCTCGTCATCATCTTAGAACTGTAGAATCCGAAGGGACCTTATGGATCATTGAGTCTAGCCTGTCAGGGAGCACAGCGCGGAATCAAACTCCCAAATTCTGGTTCCCCAGCCAGATACCTAAACCCACTGAGTTATCCAACAGTTCCTGATCATGTCCAATTTTTAAAATCCCCCCTTTTGGGGAGGCTGAAACAAAGTGGAGGAGGAGGAGGATCCTGTTTGTAAACAAGAAGGAGAATCATGGCTTCTAAGATGGCTTCTCCAAAGTGAGAGCACCCAGAAGGCATGCCAGGGGTACAGGAGCCATGCAAACAAGTACAAAGACGCACGTGGGCCATGTTTTCTATTTGTTGAAACAGAATTGAACTGCATCTCCACCAGGGAAAGCCTGTGGACCACTGGAGCTTGTGGTCCTGGTTCCATTTTGTTGCCCAGGTGCAAACAGTGCACAGATAGCTTCACAGCCTCTGAACTCCCTCCCTAGCATTCTCGGTCTTTAAAGGCGACTTGGAGGCTGGCTACATGGATGGGCTGTCGGGAGTGATGCTGAGGCGGGCTAGTGCCTCTCTTAATAGATGGTAGACAACACCTTGGCTAGAGTGCACTGGCCTGCTCTCCAGAGCATTCCTACCAACTTCCGCTCTAATTTTCACCCCCCTTCGCAACTCCACCCCCCCACCTGGGTTTCCACCATGACCCAGAACCAAAGGGTTGGAAACACCCACTGTGGGGGTGTGGAAGAGGAACACTGCACGGAAGAGGGCATATCAGAGCACATGTGCAGCTTAGAGGCAACCTTGGTTCCTATCTGAATGTTTCTGGCCCCTGTCAAGGGGCTTCTACTTTTTGTATGCTGGCTGGACTGGTACCAACATCTGGGATGGCTGGAACTGATCCATATGCCGGCTGGACTGGTCCCAACATCTGGGATGGCTGGAACTGATCCAAAACAAACCTTCCTCTTTCAATTTGCCAGTATCGTCAAGTAGCTTAGTAAACAAGCCACTTCAGGATACTAGCAAATTAATCATTTCCCCTGCTCAGCAGAGGGCAGGAGAAATGGAAAAAAAAAGGTTTTACTGTGTGTTGATTATTACTGATACACTATATCAGTTATAAAATAAAAATATTTGCCTTGCCTTGCTTCTAAAGTAGCTCAAGAAACCACCCACAATCAAATTCACAGCAGTGGGTTTGGCTGCAGGCAGTTTGTCAACCAGTCATTTAAGAGAATGCAAATAAATGATATTTAATTTTTTAAATAACTGATGTAGCAATAATCTAGATACAGTCAAAACTTGTTTTCACTTGCCCTGCCCTCTGCTGAGCAGGAGAAGTGATTAATTTGAAAGTAGCTCAAGAAACCACCCACAATCAAATTCACAGCAGTGGGTTTGGCTGCAGGCAGTTTGTCAACCAGTCATTTAAGAGAATGCAAATAAATGATATTTAATTTTTTAAATAACTGATGTAGCAATAATCTAGATACAGTCAAAACTTGTTTTCACTTGCCCTGCCCTCTGCTGAGCAGGAGAAGTGATTAATTTGCCAATTTAATACTCTGCTGAGCAGGAGAAGCGATTAATTTGCCAATTTCCTGAAGTGGCTTACTTATTAAGCCACTTCATGATACTAGCAGGAATTGTTTCCATGTGAAGGGCCAGGCTTGATTAGATCGAGACCTGTTGTTCCCGAGCAGCCCACACTAGCTCACTCCTGCTGCTAGTGTAGTTGTAACACTGGACTACTCAGTTGTTCTAACTGAGGATACCTTCAAATGGAAATCACTTTATGTCATTGGGTTCTGCTTCTCACTCACACACACTCCTTCACACTTTAGTATTTCAGGTCCCCCATTACACTCTCACACACTCCTCTTTCACACTTTAGTATTTCAGGTCCCCCATTCCCTAAAAGAGCCCACGTGGTCATCCTATCTCCAGATATTGCTGGATTGCAACTCCCATAATCCCTCACCATTAGTTAGGTTGGCTAGAGTTGATGGGAGAACATCGTCATGGAACTTCAGAGCTGGAAGAAATCCCAGAGGTCATTGAGTCCAGCCCTTGTTAAAGAAGCACAGTGAGGGAATCAAATCCTCAACTTCTGGCTCCATAAGCAGATGCCTAAACCATTAAGCTACCATATCTGGAGGGCCAGAATACCCTAGGCTGAGTTTAAGTTGAATTCAATTTCTCTGCCTTCTGATTGCTCACTGACTTTTGCTGTAGGAAAAAAAATGTTTAAAGCTGAAAGCTGAGAAAAAGCAAGGCAGGATAAAGTTAATGATGATTAGATAACTTTCCAGAATATTTACAGATTGTAAACAGGGGTGAGGGAGTGAAGATAGAATTTACAGTGTTGAACAGGTTACCATTTCACACTAACATGACCTGTAGTATCCCATTAGTATGTAGGGGGTAAAAACAGGAGAAAATCATGTCAAAATTGATTACTTCAGTATAATTGGGGTGAAAAGTTCAGCACTTCAATTAAATGTCACAGAAATAGTGGGCCCAGTGACTCCTTTCACCAGATAATTTTTTTACAAGGATCAGAAACTGTTCCTGACAATAAGGGGTGAGTGGGAACAGGTTGTTTACCTCTGTTACCCTTCTTTTCATTCAGCAACATGCTTATCTATAAAACATCTTTGCTTTACACAATGCAATGGACGGCTCCTGCTTACCTCAGAACTGTTTGGTTCTATAATTTGGACTGTTCCTTTGAACAACTCCTTCCTTTGAGCTATGAAACTTTTTTCAGGTGGGGCCCACCCCGTTTCTAGTATTATCTCGGTAGCTTTCAAAACTCAAACAGTCTGACTGCTACATGGAGAAGTAATTAATTCTCCAGCCATCGGCTAGAAAGTGCGAGGGGACTATGACCTGTGAAGACTTTGTACTCAAGCTTGCGCAGTGATGAACTGCAGCCTCCCAGACACAGATCCTCATTTGTAAGAATGGGAACATTATTATATTTACCTTGTAATTTTTCATTTGAGAAAGACTGAAATAAGACTACAAATCAAGATTAAAAACAAGGTGGGGGATACCATTAATGGGAAGTAAATGTTTGAGTCCAGCAGGACTGTTCTTCAAGCTGGGGGTTGCTGAACTGGAATTAGTGAGGGGAGAAACAAAAAAAATCTAAAAATCATCTTAACCTGATTCAGGATCGGAGCTAAAATAATGGAAGGAAACTTTCAGGCAATGCAGAATCAGTTCTTTTCCATCGTTAAGACCAGTGATTCCCAACTTTGGTTCCCCAGACAGTCTTCGACTACAACTCCCAGAAATTCCGGCCAGCACAGCTAGTGGTGAAGGCTTCTGGGAGTTGCAGTCCAAGAACATCTGGGGACCCAAGGTTGGGAGTCACTTTTATAGGCGAAGAGTTGTCAGTCACCAAGTGTATTCTCCATGGTGTGTGTCAAGTCATACAGCTGCTGTTTGGCTAAGAACAGAGGCACACAGAAACATGGCAGTCCTCATTTCAGAAAAGTTGGACACTGAATTTATTTGTCTCAATAACCAAATTGGTCAATGAGGCCCATGTTTACCTTCCAATGACCAATAGCAAATGATACCATGCTAACTACAAAATATAAAGTTAAAGAAACTACTCGCAATCATCCCAGATTACTGGACACATAATAATAGGCTCAAGTTAACAGGAAGCCAGATTAGGCTGGATATTGAGGGAAAATTAACTGTTAGAGCAGTATGACAATGGAACCAATTACCATGGGAGGTGGTGAGTGCTCCAATGCTGGAGCCGTTAAAGAGAAATTGGACAAACATCTGTCAGGTCTACTTGGATTTGGATTCCTGCATTGAGCAGGGGGTTGTACTCGGTGACCTTATAGGCCCGTTCCAACTCAATTATTCTATTATTCTATGAAAATAATGTGCTGTTACAAACAGATGTCTGTTTTCCCTTCAGGGAGCAGATCTTCTATAAACATGCTAAGTGTATCATTGAGTTTAACCCTGGAAGTTGGTCTTGTTATATTAACAATTTGTAACTTTTTTGGTTGAGGGCTGCATCACACATGGCAAGTCCGCATTAACACCCCCAAACGTTCTTACACACTTCTCTTCCTCTCGTATATCAGCACAGCCCCATTCTAGCAGTCTCTACAGAGATTCCAAATTACACAGTTTAACTATGCATTGTGTAAAGAAATACCTACTTCTGTCAGTGCTAAATCTCCCATCCTAGAGTTTCATGGGTAAGCCAAGGTTCCGGAATTTTGAGACCGGTAGAGAAACTACCCTACTTACAGTTCTTATATTCTTCCATTATATTACTATTAATTTTTTTACTCACCTTTGTGCTCCTCCTCCCCACAAGATAAACAGGCCCTTTCCTCATATGTACCTACTTCTGTCAGTGCTAAATCTCCCAT